TGTTTTAACCCTGTTAGTTTTCTACTTTAACCCTGTTAGTTTTCTGCTTTAACCCTGTTAGTTTTCTGTTTTAACCCTGTTAGTTTTCTACTTTAACCCTGTTAGTTTTCTACTTTAACCAGGTTAGGTTTTTGTTTTAACCCTGTTAGTTTTCTGCTTTAACCCTGTTAGTTTTCTACTTTAACCAGGTTAGGTTTTTATTGTAAACCTGTTAGTTTTCTACTTTAACCCTGTTAGTTTTCTGCTTTAATCAGGTTAGGTTTTTATTGTAAACCTGTTAGTTTTCTACTTTAACCCTGTTAGTTTTCTGCTTTAACCAGGTTAGGTTTTTATTGTAACCCTGTTAGTTTTCTGCTTTAACCCTGTTAGTTTTCTGTTTTAACCCTGTTAGTTTTCTGCTTTAACCAGGTTAGGTTTTTATTGTAACCCTGTTAGTTATCTGCTTTAACCTTGTTAGTTTTCTGTTTTAACCCTGTTAGTTTTCTGCTTTAACCCTGTTAGTTTTCTGCTTTAACCCGGTTAGTTTCTTAGCTGCCTCTGCTGCCTCTCTGGATTCACCAGCTGCTGCTTCTGATCCCGAGCAGACAAAGCCACTCAGTTATAAACAGATCCAGCATCAACAGACTGAATTGTGTGACAGGAGCAGATCTTTTGGCAGACAGTGGCAGCAGAAAGCAGACGGACTGACAGCTTGTATTTTCTCTGAGTCACTCTTGATTATCTGTCTGTTCAGGTTAAACATATTTAGAAGACGACGCGGCTGTCGCTTTAAGATTCTCCCTGGCTCTGCGCTGTAACTTCACCTTGAGGAGGAGTGAATGTCAGCCTGCTGGTGTGTGACGGTGTGAGGACTCACAGCCAGCAGGCGGTTCTTGTCCTTCTCCGCGGTGGTTAGCGTGTTCTCCAGGGTCACACGGTGCTTCTTGGCCACTTCCTCCAAAGCGCGGGCCTGGCTGTCCTTCATCTGGCTGGCCTCTTCCTCGTAGTGAGCTTGCACGCTCCTCATGTCCTTCTCGTGGGATGTTTTCTCTTCATGCAGGGTCTGAGGAACACAACAAGGCACAATGAACAGATTTAAGCAGATCGGAGGCCGTCTCTCTGACCAGCACCATATTGATTCTGTTTGTGTTCATGCCTTCTCTATCTCAAACAAAAAACAAAGCTGAACATTTTATCTCTGGATAAAATGAACGATCTTTAAAATTAAAGAAAGTCAGTTGTTCAGGGTTCCCCTCAGAAAACTCGCCAAGCCCGGTGGTCGGTGCGCTGGGACCATCATTCATCCAGCGCCTGCCAAGTTTATGAGTTAAAAATGTTTAAAGTTCACAGGAAATTTGAAAATATAATAATTATAATTATTACTAAATTATAATTGCCACCTTAGCCTGGTGGTTCACCAGGGTTAATAATACTGGGGGAAAATCTGGTTATTACAGCTGGAAACCAGCAATCAAGCCTGAAATCTGTGTTACTGATGGACTCAGACCTGAACCTTCAGAGTCACATAAAGATAGTCACAAAGTCGGCCTTCTATCACTTGAAGAACATTCCCAGATTACAGGACTAATGTCACAGCAAAATCTAGAGAAACTCATCCATGTTGCATTGATTACCACAGTCAGCTGCAGCTGATCCAGACGCTGCTGCTCGTGTTCTGACTAAAACCAGGAAGATGGAGCACATCACACCAGTTCTAAAATCCCTACACTGGCTCCCTGTAGCTCAGAGAATAGACTTTAAGATACTACTGTTAGTTTATAAGTCACTGAACGGCTTTGCACCACAACACAGTGAAGATCTTCTTGCCCAGAATGCACCTTGCCTCATATCGGTTGGTGACAGAACTAAGCCAGTGGAGAAATCAAACATCGTCCAGCCAACTGGTCCATGACACTCGCTAGCTAGCTAGCAAGGGTATGTTAGCAGCTAGTTAGCAGTAGCCTCAGCCGCATTGAGTCAGAACACAGTGAAAATGTCTGGACGGTTCAAACTGCCAGACAGAACAATTTCACAAGATATAAATACACAAGTTAAAAAAAGTCACGACAAAATTTAAGATTAACGTATTTAAGGCCAAATAAAAGTTTATTTTTAAAAATTAATTTCACACATTTTATGGCCTTAATTGTGTATAAATTAATTTAAGACTTGTTAAGAATGCATGTTGAGTAGAGGTGGGTGGTATGGACTTAAGTTTTATCATGACATGTTGAGGTACTACTGTGAGAATGACAAAAATGATCATTTATTACATTTTTTAAGGTAACTGACAATAAACGATACAATAAATGCCCCTCCCTGCCCTAAAGCTGTTTATAAGCTGATGGAGTTTGGAGACTGAAACTGATGGAGGAGGCCAGAAACCTCTCATGTTTAGAAGAAAGGAAGATATGAGGCGGTGTGAGAACCTGGGTCCTGTTTGCCTTCACAACTTACAAGATTTCCCAACGTTAGTGAGAATTTTGACTTTAGTTTGTAATGACTCTTACATACGGCTGGCAGAAAAATCTAAATGCACTCCACAGAGGGATAACATGAAAAGGTACTGATTAAAAGTTGTTGCTAAGCACCCAGTACAACCAAAATGGACAAAAAGCACAGAGGCAGGAACAAGCACAGCCTTTACCCAGCAACAGCCCAAACCCAATTTGTCAGTAAAACGGATACATTATGAATAGCAGCTAAAAAAAAAAAAAAAAGAAACTGAGGGGAAAATGTAACCTGTAGGCCATACAATTTGGAGCTAATCAGAGAAGCAGCTGTTTTTCTCATTGCATGGCGGAAAATGGAAAATTTAATTGGCTTAATCTTGCCAAAAAGGCCACAAGCAGGACATGATGTCCTTCAGCTCAGCTGACAGAGGACAGAAAACGAAAATCTGTTAATCTTAAAATCAGCACATCTGTTCAGATTCAGTCAGACCGCCAGGTTTATATTTTAACTCTCAAAATTAGATTTTCAGCTATTCTGAAATTAAGGAAAGTCTTGTGTTGATGACAAGACTTAAAGCATAAAAAGTCACATTAAAAGTTATCAATGCAACTTATGCAAGACATCAACATCATCCTACAAAATAAAAGCTGCAAATGTAAAGGCAGAGATTTTCAGAAGGTAAAAACAGGTTTGTATCTCTACAGATAACCGAGAACTAATTCATGACAGCCAGTTTTATTTTCCTAAGCAGAGAGCTGCTTTGATAATGGGATGAGAAATTAGCCAAACTGAGCCAAACTGCTGTGGGGTCAGAAGGCAACAAAGACGAGGAGGGAAACTCTGCTCTGTTTGATGCAACAACAAAGCCTGAACTTCCTGGGCGCTTAGTTGGCTTTTTTTTTTTGAAAGAAGACAAGCAGAGAACTCAGAAACAAAAAAAAGTTAACCACAAAGATTCAACAGTAAGGCAAGAAAATGGAGAATACAAATCTAGAGAAAAAGAAGCAAAAACTAAATCCACAATTTACATCATTTTTACAATAAACAGCTGAGAGACGTACAGACAGATCAAAATAATCCAGTTTGATTTGTAAAAAATCAGATAAGGAGCCAAAAGTTTCACCATTTTCAGCCTGTAAATCAATTAACGAATTCCTGTAAACACAATACATATTTACATTCATCTCCCTGTTTTTTGTTTGTTTTTCTGATAGAGACTGAAACTTTTAAAACTATGGCTGAAATGATTAATCGTGATTAATCGATTATTGAAATAATCGTCCACTAATTTAGTAACAGATTGTTAACTGGAGTGTACAGTCTCAAAACATTTGCTGAAATAATAACGTACTCCAATAAGCAATTAGACCAAAACTGTACAAAAATATAAACATTTTGCATTAAGATCAAAATATTTCTTCTTTGTCTGTAAATCTGTTTAACACAGAACTTCTCAAATGGCTGTTTTACCTTCACCTGGTTCTGTTAAAAACATCTTCTATTAAACACATTTTACAGTCCAATTATCGATCAGTTAATCAATAAAATAACAGATCAGCTCTAAACTGTATAGATATTAAGTAAAGCAAAAAATTTTTGACTTTAATATGTTGATGTTAGAAGTATTTCCTTCGCTACAAATGATCGGGTTTTCACTAAAGAAATTGTGTTTGTGCATTTTAGGCAATAAAATGTTAATTTCTGAGTTTGAAAAATAAATGTAATTATTTGTTTCCTTGCATCTTTTAATGTATTTCTAATATTGCATAAAAAGGCTACAGTGGTTAAATAAAAAAATCTGTAGAATCAGCTGATTTTTTTATCCGATTAATCGATTAATCAGATAAGTAAATAATTGTTGGAAAACATCTAAAACATGCAGGACAGACTTTTCTACATCCTCAAAATGAGCAGTTTATTTCTTTCAGATAATAAAAATGCTCCAATCCTACACTTAAACTTGAGATATCTTTACATTTTCTTTGCAAACATCCAGTTATTCACCACAGCCGTGGGCCTCGGAGGCCACTCTGACAGAAAAGTGTAGTAAAGTTTAGCTGATCCTCCGTTTTCCTGGGGAAAGCATTGAAATTCACAGCAGCTGCAGCCAGTGGGAGACCTCTCCCAGCTCCCAGAGGATTACGCTGCACAAATGTCAGAGATAAAAGGATGGGAAAACACACATGAAGCTGCAACACTTGACATTTACTGTCTGCTGCGCTTGGCCGGCTGACTAAACTGTTCCACAAATCATCTGACCTTTAAGGCTTTTTGTTTTTAAAAAGCCTGTTTTGTTTTCGCTCCGCAGTTTGTTTAAAGCTGTGATCGACAGGCTTCGCAGCCAAACAGTTTGAACTTTTGTTGCATTGAATTCAACATTGCAGAAAATTACTACAGTTTATCTGCAACAGACCTAATATTGGAAGTAAATCTTAGCAAAGAAAGAGAGTGAATGTAAACTGAGAGAACAGATAGTAATTTAAACACGGCTGAATGAATTACACTTTTGTAAAACAAATATAAATAAATAGGATTAAAAAAATGAAATGGACACCAGAGTTAGAAGAACATGAAGCTACTAAAATATTTTACACAAAAAGTAAATCTAACCTGGTTTCACCACAATGATAAAGTTCAATTCATTCAACCCAAGACATGAAAATTCATCCATCCATCCATCCATCCATCCATCCATCCATCCATCCATCCATCCATCCATCCATCCAGGAGGTTCTTTACCTCCTCCTCTCACTAAGTAGCTAGCTAGCCTCGCTCAGCTGAGGAACCTATAAGTAAAAAGTGAATTTATTCTGCTGAATGTTTCAGAGATTATGTTGATTCCCATCAAACTGAGCTGCTGTCACACTGCATCCTCATCCTATTAGCATACAGTAGCAGAATTAATCTGATACAGCTCTGTCTGCATTCAAACAGCAACATGCTGACTGTTGTTCAGCTTCCCTACAGTCTGCAGAACGGCTCAGCCTCAGCATCCTGATCAGCTTCTAGTTATTCATAACAGTAACTTCCAGCCTTGCATGAATACTAAGCAAACACACAGACCTTCTCCAGGGACTGGATCTGCTGTTTGTGTCGTTCTTCCAGCGCTTTGCTCTGGCTCTGCAGGGCCTCCCTCTCTTCCTCCATCCGCAGCACCTTGTCCTTCAGGCGGCTGCGCTCGTTGTCCAGGTCCCTGATGGCGGCTTCCTGGGTCATCTGGGTGGCCTGCAGGCTGCTTATCTGGCCTGAGAGAAATGTTACAGATCAACACAGCTACATAACACACGATTATTTTAGGAATCAATTATTATGTTCTGACGATTAACTGGATAAAATTCTGCAGATTTTACTTTTAACCACTTAATTTTATTTTATACAACACTAAAATGATGTAAAAAAAGCCTGTTAATTACAAAAACAAAAAAACCCTAATAATTAAATGCTTTTAAATAAGAAAATAGACATTCCTAAAAAGAAAAACATCGTTAACGATTATTCTATAGTGACGATCACATTTAAAAATTTTCTTCAGATTTTTGTTTAACCATGTAAGCTTATTTTATGTAATAATTTTAATGCAACCTCCCTCCCCCTAATAATTAACTACTGTTTTCAAATAAAAAAATAAGCATTTTATAAAGCTGACAATTATTTTAGGAATCGATTATTCTATTCTGACAATTAATCAATTAACTGAATAAAAAAATGTGAACATTTTGCAGATTTTTTTATTTAACCACTTAAACTGTTTTTGTACACAATATTAAAGACGTAAAAAAAGGAAATGCAAAAAACCATAATTAATTAACTATTTTCAAATAAGAAAATAAACATTTTATATAGCTAATCGTTATTTTAAGAATTGATCATTCTATTTTGGTGATTTATTGATTAATAAAACAAGAAAATGGGCACATTCTGAAGATTTTTCATTTTAACACTTATTTTATACAATATTTTGAGTTTGCATCAGAGTTTAATTGCGAATTCACTCCTCCGCAAACCAAACAAACTTTCAAGGCAAACGGACTGGAGTTTGATTAAAACAAACTAAACATGGCAGGTTGGAAAACGCACTCAATTACAGCCTGCAGAGTTTCCTGCATTTAACCAAATAACCCAATCATCCTTTACTGGCCACATTTCAACAAACCAGCTTCAACATTTCATATAAAATTTGAGAGAATGTGTCTTTCTCTGTAAAACGCCCTCCATGTGCCCTCTGAGCTCCAGTCGCCGGCCGGATCCCGAGCAGCTTTGGCGGAAAAACATTTTTCTAATCAGACTTTAGGAGCTCATGACGCTAATGAGGCGAATGTTATTCTGCTCTAACAAGCTCAGACGGCTCACATGCATCAGACTGTAATGTTTTTACAATATAGTTGCAGCAAAAGAGAAAATCATAGACGAGTTGTTAAATTAGATTGTGTTGCTTAAACTGGATCGACTCAAAGTGCAGAGCCCCACTGCCTTTTAGGGACAGGGAACGCCATTAGCTTTGATATGCAGCCATAACTTTAAAACGTTTGGGCTGAGATGCCTCAGACGAGACAAGAGGAGCTGTTAGTTGATGTCTGATGAGTTTCTGCGACTGCCAGCGTGACGAGAAGCGAGGAGAGGGGATGACGTTTAGGTTCTTACTGGCTTTGAGGAGTATTTCCGTGGCCTGCTGCTGAACCCGGTCTCTGGCTGCCTCCAGCTCACACTCTGCCTCTTTCTGACGGATCTCTATGATCTCGGAGTTCTGGGTCACTTCATCCAGCTGCTTGGTTAAGTCCTGGAGAAGAGTCAAAACAATGCAAGAAAACTTAAACGGTGCAGATGACTTAAAATAGAAAATAAAAGACAGGGCTGCCTTCGACAACTCTTGTCTTCTGGTGTAATTTCCAGAGAAAGGATGAAGCTTTTATTCCTCCAATGTGGGTATATTGATCAACTAATTATCTATTAGTGCAAAAATCTCACCCAGGGTTTCACAAACTCAAGTTTAAGACTTTTAAAGACCTCTTTAAGACCACTATGAATCAAATTTAAGACCTGTATCACAATGGTAATGTATATTTAAGATGTTTTAAGACCTCTTTAAGACCATTATGAGTTAAACTTAACATGTATCGCAACAGAAATGTACTTTTAAAACTTGCCAAGACATTTCTAAGACCATTGTGAATTAAATTTAAGACCTGTATTGTGATAGAAACATACATTTAAGACCTTTTAAGACCTCTAAAACCATTCTGAGTAAAATTTAGGACTTGTATCATTACACAAAAGTACATTTAAAACTTGTTAAAACCTCTTTAAGACCATTGTGAATTAAATTCAAGACTTGTATCGCAGTTTTTTGCGATATTCCTCAATCACGGGAATTCATGCAAAATCAGCAGATCAATGCATTTTTTCATGCATAATTGTGAGCTCACTTAATTTTCATTATGAAAATGAAGCATTTAAGACAGTGAGTCTTAAAATGTTTAAAACTTACTGTCTTAAAAAGTTTTAAATGTAAACTTCTGCTGGAGAGGAGATAGAAAACACTCAAAACATGAGTTAAGGTAAAGAACGGATTTTTACTGATATTAACTTTAGGATCCAAATTCAGATTTGATGTTGACGTCCTTAGAGCTGAGTATTAACACTCAACCAGGAAGTAATTTAAACATTAAATCAAAGTTTATTTTGTGACACGACATCAGCTCGTTTCTTCCATTCATTCTTCTGCTCGGCTCATTTTGTGTCACGTTCTGTTTGCTGCATTTCCTGCATCAACTTTTAGCTGCCAGAACCATCTGTTATTTATAGGAGCAGATTCATTTTGTTCCGTTTGTAAATAAATAAACTTGCATTTGTCTCCTATCCATCTGGCTCCTGCCTGCGAGCCTACATTTTGCTCCCGATACCTCCACAGACATCTGTGACGATTAGCAGGAGCAAATTAAATCCTGCAGCTCCAGAAATGAAGGAAACAGCCTGTTCATCTAATCCACATGATTATTTAAAAACAATATCGGTGAAAAGTTGTATTATAAACACAACAGACCAGGGATGCAACTAATGATTAGGTTACTAATCTATTATTCTTTTGATTATTCTGACAGTCAAATTAAAATAAAATGGCACAATGTGCAGTTTTTCATCAAACCTCTTTAGCTTTTTATTACGCAACGATGATTTCTTTCATTATATAGCTGAAAATGCAACAACATAGCCTTCCTTCAGTGACTTTGAACAAAATTAAACTAAAACTGGAAAACATATTTACACAAAAAGGTGTTTTAAAATTAAGTCGAAATGTGTGTGTATTGTACAATTTTGGCTAATTACTGCTTTAAATATGCCATTTTTTTCAGCAAATTCCCTTTTTTAGAGTTAACGATTAATCAATTACTAAATTGGCTGATAATTGTTTCAACAACTGATCAATCACGATTAACACGACGAATCATTTCAGCCGTTTTCAGCTTACAGAACAAAACATATTGCTGGCATATTTTTAATACCGAGGATCAGGGATTTAAATCCCAACTGCTGTTCAATTAATAAGGAGCAGACTTCAGGGAACAATGCAAATCGACACGCATGCAGCGTAGAAGTTATGCGACTCAGAAACTCATGAGAGGTAATTTCACATCTCCGAGTCGCGCCAAGCAGCCTGCCTAAAAGCTAATTACCACAGCCGCGGCTAAGACAAAGGAGCCCCAGAATGACGAGACCCACTGAGGAGTCACACCAATTACACTTCCTGGGTGCAGGAGTGTGAGCAAGCTGTCCTCCGTTTGAGATGACGAACGTAGCTGCAGCTTCTCCCTGCAAGAGTTCACATGTGAGCCACAAAAAAAAAAAAAAAAAATTGTTTTTTTAAATGTTTATTGTCACATTTCTGTGGTGAGTTTTGCTGGGTGAAACATCCAGACAGAAATGGAGTCGGTTTGATTTTGGTGAATTTCTAACTCCAGGTTTGGAGGGAATCTGGTCAAGTACTGGTTTCTATAATCTCTACAAGATTTGTAGAAGAAATCTACTACAGATTTATGGATTGATACCAGACGTACTGTTTGAAACAGGCATCCATTATCTGTTACGAAGCCCCGGTCTGAAAACTCTTAGGAAAATCACAGTTTATTACAGCAGAGCCCTGGCTGTACAACGTAACTTTAAACTGTTCCACCTCCTGGCTTTTCGTTCAGATTGTCTAAAATGTTTAAAGGAAATGCAGCTTTGGACGCTGAAAGGCAGCCAATAGAGGAGCAGCATTTTTTCCCCCTTGGTGCCGATTGGCTGATGCCAAAGATTGGAAATACAGTGAATATTAGCTTCTGCTATGATGCCAAGACGGTTTTCTACTTTAATGCAGTTTGTTGTTTTTACTCTTAAAATGGGCAGTTATAAGCATTTTAATATAAATAGTTTTTCTTTAAAAGTTTTTATAAATTGGACATAATGGTTTTTTTTACCAGATTTCTGACTTCTTGGAAGTTTTTCCACTTGTCATGGTGTAAATTTAGTCTCTGAATGATAGCACATGTAAAGCTCTTGTGTTAAGGTGATTGTTCAGCCAATGCAGGTTTTTAAAATAAAATCTTACTATTTTCAGCAACAATAACAGCATTTGGGTCACTTTCTCTGAAAATGTTTGCTATATTTAGTTTAATAAACCAATTCAAAGCAGTTTGGGTGGCAACAGGTAAAAGCTGTTACTATTTAAAGTGAAATTTAATAGACACTGGAAAGTATGATTGGTAAAAGATGAATACTTTGTTTTAATCTATGTCCATTTTGAACAAAAAGTGAGTTCAAATGAACTAAAAACTAGTTTGAATGTGTGTTTCTAAACTGGATAAAGTGACTCGTTTTATGCATGAAGGGATGAACGCTTATAGAGCTGAACTCGGATGTATCTGGACTTTATTACATCTTTTGTTGTTTCAGGCCTGGTTGCTTCACCTCAAACAGCAACAAGCCTTTTGATTCTTCTGCAACGCTTCAGGTATCCTTTAGTTATTTGCTTAGTTAAAAAGCTGATGCCTGCAGTTAGTTTAATTAAACACCATCCTTCTCTTAGTCCTGCAGTAAATCCCTTTGTCCTTTCACAACCTTTGTGCTCAAAGAGAAACATAAAGTTGCTTAATGCCACATCGATCCTCGGTTTCCTTCCTCTTGGATCCAAAAAGGCCTAAAATCCGGCCTGCGTCTCTTTTCTCTTCTCTCCATGCTCATTTGAGCCTACTGAGCCAGCAAATCTTTAAAGGGCTCACAAAAATAGCTCCTCTGTTGACTAAAACCCTGCTCCGTTTTGTGGAAAGCAAGCAGAACAAGAGGATGAGACGGCATAAAGACGAGTTTTAGGAGTAAACCTGCTTGGAGGTGAAGTGGAAACAAACCGACGCAGGGAAAGAAACAATCAGGATTCATCAACCTTTACACCTTAAATGTGGCTCCTGCTGTCGATTCGTTATGGCTTTGTTTGTTTTTCTGTTTTAATAATGAAACATGGTAAAAATGTGAAATAATCTGCCAGTGGAACCAGACATTTTTTTATGAGTATTAATAAATTATTGACTTAAAACAAGTTGAAAAGTTACTTGAATGTTAGTTTCGAGACAAAATGAGTCATTCCAAGCGTTTTTGCACTTCAATTAGGATATGTTCTCAGTTAATTAGTAATCGATTATTCTATTGATTCATTGATTAATCGGTTCTAAAAGTGGCACATTGTGCAGATTTTTTAACACCTTAACCATATTAAATGCAGTATTAGAAATGCATATCTGGAATAAAATAAGCTGCACATTTTGAGGATTTAGAATGAATCAGATTTTAAAAATATCTGATTAATCGAGTAATCGTCAGAATAATTGATCAATAAAATAACAGTTAGTTGCAGCCTTAATAAAAGTGTTTTCAGTGACGATATAAATACTGAAGCTTCAGGTGTAAGAAGTAAAATCCCTGAATGGAAATGTACGGATGAAACCTCCTGAGGTGAGAAAACTGCCTGAAGTCAAACTTCAGGTGTTCTTTAGTTTTTACCATTTAATCCAAATAGACGGAGTTAAGTTCAGCCTCACCCAAAGCCCCCACAGAACCTCTCTGATTTTAACATTTAAATTCAAAAACTCATGATTAATTGCTTTTGTCTTGCGGGGAAAAGCCTCTGTCAGCCAACTTGGACCAGCTTTTCTCGAGAGCGAAATATTTAGTCCGAAGACGGTGACAGCAGCAATTTAGCACAGCATCACTGGTGTATTTCACTCTGGGGAAAATTTGTAATTTTTGGCAAGCACGTTCCCGCAGTAGCTTGTGAACAGTCAGCCATTAATTACGTCTGTCTGAGTTACTCCGAGCGATCATTTGCTTGCATTTCTCTGAAGATTTGCCCACTTCATCATGAGCTAAAGGAGGAAGACAGAACACTGGAGCGGTAAGCTGAGAACAGGAAAACATTGTTTAAAGTTGGGGTTCAGTTGATGCCTGATGAGTTTTTTCCATATTTATGCTTCTTGCATCTACACTGGCCTTCAAAATATTCATACAGCAAACTTTAATGGATTTTATTAGAAGTTTACAGACCAACACAAAGTGCAGCATAGAAGTGAAGTGGAATGAAAATGACAGATGGTTTTCATTATTTTTGCTGATAAAAATGTGAATTTAAGTTAATATTTAGCTTTTTTGTGATCAGACGTCACTGAATCAGTGAATCTGTAGTTTAGGTTTATTGTCATTACAACAGAATAACACTTTCTCATGTGACACCATTTCACTTATTGCTAAAAAAACCTGGTAAAATAGGCTGAAGTTTGTGTTTGTAACGTGATAACGTGGAAAAGTAAAGGAACCTTGAATCTTAATGAAGGAATAAAATGCTCCTCATCCACATATTAAAACACTTAAACTGAAGATTAAATATAAATCTATTATTTCCCAACCATGTAACTGAAGGATGGAGAGACCTGCTCACAGTTTTATTTAGAGATTATTCAGATATTAACCCACCAAACACTCAATGTGTGAAAGAATCAGATGTGTTTCTATCAAGTAAAGTCAGTTTCAAGCTTTCTGCTTTGTTGACTCTCCTTTATCTGGGTTACGGTTAATTGCGCTGATAATTAAATGAAACTAATAACCCGAGGCACAGCAGTTTCTGCTGACCTTGATCTTATTCTTGGTAACTCTGCAAAGGGAGGACCTCTTACCGCCTTCTGTGTAATCAGACTTCAGACAAACCAGACCCACTTCACCGATTCCCCTGAAGCTCTTGTCAGCTTTACTTTCAGTGGGGAATCCCCTCAAAAGACCTTAAAGACATCAAAACTCTGGAAGCAGGAACAAATCCTCACCAAACAATCATGCAGCTGGTTCTTACACGATTTAATCTGATTGTGCTGAAGACAGTAATATTTATCCAAATTTAGCTTGAAGGCATCAGAATGGAAACATATTGTCAGGTTGAAGTTGTTTGATTAAACAGAAGAGTTGGAGAGAAAACACTGAGTGTGTTTATCATTTGCTTCATAACCTTTTAAATTTTATAAAACCAACAATATGGTTTAAATTGTTAGTTGCTGTTATTAAGTCCTAGGAACATTCATGCTAATCTGCTAACTTGCTAGTAGCAAAGCAATTTTTCTTTGATTAGCGCTTATGCTAACTTTAAAAATATTTTTAAAAAGTAGCTTCCCCTAAATTCTAAAGCACGAATTTACTTTAAAATTAGACACATTTACTAAATTAGTCCAGTTTAGTAAATTAGTAAAGCACTAAGTTGGTAATCACAAAACTATGCTTTACTAATTAGCACTCATTTAATGCCAATTAGTACCAATTAATTAATGAATATTAATTAAATTAGCACTAAGAACTTGGTAAAGCACTAAGTTAGTAAATGCATTAGTGCTTTTCTAAGTAGTGCTTTAGTAAATTAGTATAGAACTGATTCTGGTTTTAGATTTAAGGACTATTATAAATAAAGTTCCAAGCTGTGTTGAAGTTTTGATTATCGACTGTCAAATTCAAACTCTTCAAATACTCAGACTTTTACATTCATGCTCTTATTTTGAAGGGGGTGAAGACACAGCAGTTCCATTTCCTCTTTTTCCTTTCCACCAATAACTGTAATTCAAACAATAAACAGGAGCACATTAAGCATAGTAATAAACAATATATAAAAACATAAATTTATTAGAACATTAATCAATAAATTCAGCATTTTAAAAACATTTTATTACTGTTAATGTCAGACAGTCTCGTATGTAAATCTAACACCTTTCCACAATACTAAAAATAACTATTTTTGTAAATATTTTATTATTGCTAAATTTGTATTAATATTTAGCAGACTGGGAATACTTGAGGTACTGCTTTAGATTATATTATGTATTCTTTCTGTATTTGTTTTCAACTGTTGTGCAATTATCATGATAATGTCATGTGGTATTTTAGTCATAATACATGAAAAAATGCACATTAGTTTATATGTAGTTTCCACTGAGCTGCTAGTGGAAGCACCAGCTGTTTTTTTGTTCTCCTTTAGGCTCCAGCATGGAGGGAAACAGCTGCATTCAGTTGTAAAAGCTTCAAGTTAATAACTTTCTGTGCCTGCTGCTGCGCTGTTTGGACCAGAAGCATTAACCTGTGGAAATAAAACTAAAGGCCGCCTTGAATCCAAAACTGCCAGATACTTAAACGCTCCTGGAGGGACGATTAGAGAGTGTCGGATAAATTAGAGCAGCCGACACTTTGCACCTGTTAGAAGTTTGAGTTTATTTTAGTTCAGTAGCAACTTGTCAGATTTGATCACATATAGATCTGCATCTTATAGATTAACTTACTTTCATTATAGAAGTTAGTTAAGGGTAAACAAGCTGTTACAAAGGATTGATAAATAAATATGAAATTGTGTTGGATGGATGAAAAAGCTTATCGGTGGATGGATGATGGACGGTAAACATTTCTCTCGTCTCTTTCGCTTCATATTTTCCATGTTTGGAGGAAAACTAAATCCTGGCACCAGCCCAACATCCCTGCTGGTCCATAAATGGCCACAGGAGGTGAAACCATGGAAACCGCCTCCATGTTGCGTCCGTCCCACTCACCTTGATGGAGCCCTCTGCCGTGCCGAGCGCCGCCTGCAGCTTGTGAGACTTCTCGCGGTTCTCCCGAGCCTCGTCCGTCACGCGGGCCAGCTCGGCCCGCAGCTTCCCCAGCGTTTTCTGGAGCGCCGCCTCCTGCGTCTGGAACTCCCGCCGCAGCTCGGCCTCGGTCCGCTTCCACGCCAGCAGGTTGTCGGCCGTCAGCTGCTGGGTTCGCTTCATGGCCTCCAGCTCGCGTTCGTAAAACGCTTGAGCCTGGAGAACAAAGCAGAAAACGGAGCCAGACGTAAAACTCCTGCAAAAACTACGAAGCATTTCTGGTTTAGTTTCAGTGAAAATATCTTAGTACACTTAAAGTAGGACAAAACTAACTCAGCAGGATATATGAGCTTGTTTTAAGCCAATCATTAATACCTTAATACTGATGAGAGAATATTTATTCCATTGTCAGATTTTTTCACTTAAAATATGCGAAAACTGACTTGTAATAACATACAACTTAAATAATCTGTCATTACAATTAGTACTTTTTCATGAATATTAAGAAATATTGACTTAATTCTATTCTTGAGCCTCTTAAAATAAAATTCTCTAGTGAGTCACTTTATCTGGTTGCCAGTAATAAAAGCACCTCTGTATCTTTGACTAGGACGCACCATTTAAATCTAAAGTTTTTATAAGCGTTTAATCTGGTGTGCATCATCACTGCCAGATCGGCGTGGAGTGCTTTTGTAGTAAAATACTCTTGTTAAAATGTAGAGGTTTTCTGTCATTGCTTGCTAGATAAATCAATAAAAACTCACTAGCAGCTCATTCTTACCAGTCATCTGATTTTATGAACCAAGTTTAGGCCTTTAAACTCGTATTTACTTTGGTCAATAAAGCACAAAGCTACTAAATTTAGAGCATAATGATCTAACAGGAGGGTAAGCTAAACTCAGTTTACTAATGTTCTACAAATTAACCCAAATAAAAGTACATTGAGTGAAGGATTCATCATCTAGTATGAAGCAGCTCCAGCCAGATTCATTATGGAATCACTAAATTCATCTCCGTGTTGAGATTAACCCCATGAATCACTGTTATTATTTGGCAGGGGGGAAACCTCTCATCCATGATGTGCTGGACTCAATGCTGGCCGTACCTTGCTGAGTTTGGCTTCGTATTCGTCCACCAGCCTCTTCTTGTCCTGTTTCAGCTCCTCCACCCGCTCCGCCAGAGACTCCACCTGCAGCACAGCGACACTCATTAACCGTTTCTGCCATCTGAACTGTAAACCTAAAGCTGGAACAGTGGATTTCACTGGGAAACGTCACTATTTCCAATGGAACAAGGACTTTTTCATCCAGTAAGGAACTATTGACCTAAAACAAGCCCTGATGTCTGGCTGAAGAGTCACTGGGAAGTTCGTGTCTTTGAAATAAGACAAAAATAAGATATTTGAACTTGAAACTGAACCAAAAACACTTGGTAAGATTTTGCGTTTCTGTATAATTTTTGAAGTAATTACACTGCAAAAACACATAATCTTACCTGGTATTTTTGGTCTGGTGTCTGGTGGAAATTTAAGTTAATAAAAAAAACTACTTAATCCACTGGCAGATTATTTTACAAACATTAAGACATTTTTCCAATGTTATGAGTGAAATAATCTGCGGGTGGAACTAGTACTTTTTAAATCAATGTTAAGGAATTATGGATTTAAAAAAACCTCCCATTTCTTGCTGAAATGTTGCCTGTAAGTTAATTTAGTTTCACTTCAATGAACTAAGATATCTGCACTAGAAACTGAACCAAAAATACTTGGTAAGATTTTGTGTTTTTGCAGCGGATGAGTTCTTCCGCATCACAAACTTCCAGTTTAACGGGGAACCTACAGAACGCCGAGGCCAGCAGGTTGAGCCGTTTCTCAGAAGTTAGCGGTGCGTTACCTCGGCTTTGTGCAGCTGCCCCAGTTTCTCCTGGTCTTTGCTGTAGTTTGCATTCTGGCTCTGGTGGCTGCGGAGGAGCTCCTGGATCTCCTGCCTGTGCTGAGCCTTGAGCTCCTCCAGAGCCGCTTTCTTCTCCTGCTCAAACTGAGCCTGGGCCTGGCTGAACGTCCGCAGCTTCTCCTCAAAGGACCGTCTCATCTCCTCCACCTCCCTCGACATGGACACCACGCGCTGCGTGTGCTGCCAAGAGAGACGGGAAATGAAAGGCTGCGTCAAAGGAAGGGGGGATTGATTTATGGGTTTCTGGGTTGCAAAGCGAGCCAGTGAGTCTTTAAAAAGGTCCACGCCAGGCGGTGATGTGCTGGATTGGGGGATTCTGATCTGACTGCCAAACCTTTCTGCTCTAAATGAGCACAAAACAATGTAAACTCCTCTAAACATTAAACTCCTTCAGCTTTGAAACATTCAAATAACACAAATGTCTAAACTCACTAATCTAAAGTAGCTCTAATAATTATATTTACATTTATTTTCTCTTAATTGCAGCATTTTATTTGACTAAAGAAGCAGATAGCATAATTATTAACTTCCACTAATTAAATAAGAAGATATTTGTCTTTGAAAAGAAGTGCAGGCATAATATGCCAGAATTAGTAACTATTTAGCAAATCAAGGAGCTGCAATCTACGGTGACCTAGATTGGTCAAAAAAAAAAAAAAAGCCAACGCTGCTAAGCAGCAAAAAAAGCCACAACAGATGTTGGTTGTTTTGCATAAGTTTCATTTTAGCTGAAATTCAGGCTCTGTACTTTGTTTTAGCATAAATCCCATTTTAGCAACAAAAAACATTTTTTTAAGAATAACTTAATTTTTTTTGTTTTGGCTGCAATTTAGTTTTAGTATAAATAAATAAACATTTTGCTTTAGCCAACATAACCTGCATTTAAAGGTTCTGTTGTAGCATAGCTTCAGTTTTAGAAAAAATGCTGACTTAGCATAAATTTGGTTTCATCCAAACTGTGTTGTGCCTCTCATTCAGCACAGATTAATGTGTGTTCATCTAAACCAATTTATTCTGCTCCACTTCACAGTCCTGGACTACTCTGTGTTCCTCAGACACATGAAATCCCAATGAAACGCATCAAAGTTCGTTGATATCAAGTGACAAAATGTGAGAGCATGTGAAAAATCTTATAAGATTTGACCAAAATCCAACTTCTCTTTTAATAAAGAAATGTTTCTTCATTTTCCAAGATATTATTAATACCTCTATGAATGTTAGCTTAGCTGTTACTGGCCAGTCAAAGCAAAACGATGCCGGGCATCAAACTATGATTTGTAATGACAACATGTCTGCATGGATCCCTGCTGTCGACAGCAACAACAACTCGCTACAGTCAAGCTGGGAGGCTGACGTGACGCTGATTACCGCAGCTGTGCCCGCAGGACCCCGGCGTACACAGCTGCTTCCTGGCAGCAGGTGGAGGCCGCGCGCCTACCTGGGCCTCGGTGCAGAGCTGCATGTCCTCCACCCGCTGACGGTAGCTCTCGAACTCGGCCAGCGCCTGCCTCTTCATCCTCTCGTGCAGCTCCATGGACTCCTCCAGAGACTGGATCCTCTTCTTCAGGTCCATCTCATCGCTGATTTTACTCTTGAACTGCAACCAACACAAAACACTCAGGAAGCCAAATAATCGCTTCATGAATGAAAATAATTTCCATTCCGACTATTCATACTTTTGAAGGGGAATTTCGCTTACAGACAAAAATATGTATAATCTTAATTAAAAAAGCAACTGAAATATTTTTATTTGCATCTTTCTGATGTTGTATAAAAAAGGCTTCAATGATTAAATAAAAAATCTACAGAATGTGACAATTTCTTGTCAGTTTAATCGATTGTCAGAATAATCAATGGATTAATCGATTATTGAAATAATCGTTAGTTTCAGCCCTATTAAGTGTAATTCCAACTCTTGGGTTTCAGCCTATTGGATTATTCTCTGACTTTTTTTTACACATCAGTGATAATTAAGAGATTTTATCAGATATTTTGTTTTATATTTTTTTGAACTGAGCCATATTTCTACCATGATCGGTGAAAAACACGTTTCTCCCAAACATAAGATCTTTTTCATTCCATTCACAGGCAGAAACCCCTGAAAGACGAATATTCTGCCGATAAAATATTGATGATTTCATTCTGAGAGCCGGCGGTGAGATCCTGGCTAATCTGATAATACTTTACAGTGGTGAGTCTCTGTAACGGCGCTTTGAGGTGATGAAATCCTGTGTTTGATCTGGAGTTAAAAAGGAGGGAAAGAAGACCTGGCAGGTGCAAAAAGGTACAAAGTTTCACTCCTAAAGTCACGTTTTCATGGGGAAAATGAAACAAATGAAGCCTTTTCTGACCGAGGAGAGGAAGATAATTACCAGCTGTTGATGCCTGGCGGGGCTAATATGGCTTTAGAACCATAAATTCAAACTTCTGCACATAATGTTTACCTAAAAAGCCCAAAATTAGCACAACATCCATGTAATTACATATAATTAAAATAATCTGCCAGTGACTAGTATTTTTTAATCAAAAATGAGGAATTAATCACTTAAAACAAGCTTATATATTTTGTTGGAAAATAAGTTCTAAGTCAGTTTTGCCTTATTTTAAGTGTGATAAGACATTTGCACTAGAAAATAGAGAAAAATTACTTGTTGGTTTTAATTTTTGCAGCGTGTGAGCGAAGGTTCACCTGCAGGATCTTCTCTCTGGTCTCAGACAGGATCTGCTGCACCTCCTCTTCGTGCGCCTCCTTCAGCGTGGCAATGGCCGCCTCGTGCTCGTCGTTTTTCGTGTTCAGTGCATAGATAACCTGCAGCACGGAGGACAGACACGCATTAGGTCAGGGGTGTCCAAAGTGTGGCCCAGGGACTGTTTGTTAGGCTGCAGTCCAAGAATTACACTGATTTGTTTGTTAAACTTTTTATTTTAAATCTGGGTAAAATTATTTCTGCTATGACTTTCTGGTACTAGAAAGTAGAATCATGTCTATCCAGAGACCCTCACAAGCTTGCTATGAAAAATCCTGTTTTGTAACTTAACTAGATGCTTTTGTTATAAGATAGAAAATGTGCAAAAGTTGAGTCTAAGATTAAAAAGAAGATATATCTGGCTACTTTATTTGCTTTATCTGAGTTTTTTTGGCCCACATGACAAAAAGTTTGGCCACCTCTGCATTAGATGCTAAACATGATCACTATCAGGACTTAATGTATTAAGTATTAGTGTTAATACTCGACTGTGCGACTCGTTGCATACATGCTGCTGAATATTTAATGCAGACTTTGAGCAGCAGAACATCGTTTCAGGATGAAGTGTAACTGGATAAAAGCGAAGCCGTTACAACGATTTCAGTTTACAAGACAGAAAAGCTTTGCATTTATTCATGAAGAGCAGCTGGAGTATCGGAAATGTGCAGAAACGATCAAAAAGTCGATTCGGCTTGAATATTTAAAAAACAACCAAAAACGCTGCTCTTTTCTTCTTCTGACAGATGATCAATGTCTGTTTTTGTTTCCATCAGAAAGTCATGATTCTGATGGCACCTACAGACTCCAGAGAATATGGAATAAAAACATGAAATCAGATCTTCCAAATCAAACGAGTGGATTAAGTAGCCGTAGCACGAGGCCTGTAAAGCTTCTGCATCACAAATAAGCAGATTCAGGATGTAAATGAGCCTCCATGATCCCGCTATCAGCTCAGCGACGCCCCGTGGTCATGAATTAGAAATGGGCTGCTGCTGTGCATCACCGGGGTTAAAAATAACACAAGCAAACCGCTGCGCGCACGGGACCGACCTCTGACCTTTAAATCCCATCCCCAAAATGCAGGCGGCCGTCCGGAGAGCCGTAATCTGACAGCGCAGTAATCCCCCGGCTCATGGGCACAAAGAGCGGGATGGGAATGAGGTTTCACATGAAAGAGAGCAGAGACACATTTCTGTTTCTGAGAAACAGAAAAATGTGATGCTGCTGCTGCTGCTGGAGGAGAAGCAGGTCAATAATTCAGGACACTGAGCCGCACAAAGCTGCTGAAGATACTCAGAGACCATGGGTCAGAATCAGAATACACTCCACTGATCCACAATTTGTGATAGTTAATGTCGTTTTTGGGTCGAAAATAATAAGTTCTAGCATTTATGTTAAATACCTGAAATCATGTCTATATTATTCTGAGATGCATGAGAACATGGGAGAAGCCATGGGACAGGGATTAACCAATCACCGCTCAGGCACACCTCCATCTCTGAGAATCTGAAAACCTTTGCTCTTTATTTACCAAAGTTATGGAGGGAACCAAATATTTCTTCTGTTTGAAATAATAATAATAATAATAATCCGTTTCCCCTTCATAACATGGGAACTAATTCATTTACCAGCAAGTATTTAACTATGTTTAATGCTCCCACAATGGACACCAAATCCTACAGATTTGGGAACATTTGCTCTTTATTTGCTCTTTATTTCAGAGATTTCAATAATCTCTGAAATATTTGGTTCCCTCCCTGTAACATGGGAACTAATTATGAGTTTTCAAAAACTCTTCAATTGTATTCATTCCTCTCACCATGGACAACAAGTCCTGTATGTTTGGTAACATTTGCTCTTTAATGGAATTAGTTCCCATGTTATTGAGTGGGAACAGATTCTTTCAGGCAGCTGAAATATTTGGTTCCCCCCAGTAACTCTGACAAATAAACAGCAAATGTTCCCAAATATGCAGGATTTGTCATCCATTGTGAGAGGAATACATATAGTTAAAGACTTGCTGGTAAATTAATTAGTTCCCATGTTATGGAGGGGGAACAGATTATTTCCAACACCAACTATTTCCAACAAAACCGGCACTCTGAAACATATTGGTTCAAAAAAGATCATTTCAGGTCTCCCAAGCTTACATGACAAAGAAAGAAGGAAGAAAAGAGCAGGAGAAGAAAAACAGTGTAGAGAAGCGAAGGAGACAATCACATCCACATCTGGGGCTTCTAATAACAAGAAAAGTTGTGTTTCTTAAATAAGTGTTTGTTTTTTCTGTTTTCGCTGAGCCGCAAACTGCTGACTCATCATAAACAACAACTTGTTTTCCTCCTCTGATGCAGATGACCTGTGAATTCAACTGTGACCATTCGGTCTTGTTTTTATCTGTTGCGCGTTGTAATTTAACATTATAGCACTAAGCAGCAGCTCTGTGTGTTTATATATTCATGTAGTCAATTCAGTGTGGTGTATTTTTAAAAAAAAACTTTATCCTCAGTCCCGCTTCAGGTTGATGCCATTTACAGCAGAGAGTCATATTTAAACGAGCAAATCGCTGCTGCTTGTGTGAACTCTATAAACTGCTTTAAAATTAAAGCAAACTTTGACACTTTCCTGATTTATTTATTGCTTGGATGTTTTCAAAACTCTATTCTGTGTCCTGCTCACGTAATGCGTGAACTCTGAGCCACAGGAGCCACTTAAACTTGCAGGTCTGCAACTTTCTCTTTATTTTTAATGTTTATTGTGCTTTTAACTGGGAACCAAGGCAACACCAGGGTGGGACGGGTCGCCTTGTGGTGTCAGGGTAGATTTGCTCTACAAACGTGTTAAAGGAAAGACAAATTACAGACAAATTATGCATTTACTCGTATAACGTTTTGAAAAAATGTACTTCTATGAGCAGTTTTAATAATCGTTTTACTAGAGAAAAATATTTGGATACTTTACCCAGTGAGAGAAGCGTCACTGAATGAAGAATTTACATCAAAGTGAGACTTCTTGTTTATACACAAGCTTTGTTTTTTTGATGTTTTCTACAAAAGATCCAAAAACATAATATACCGTCAATGGAAACTCAGTTTTCATTTGAATGATTCAGAATTTTTCTCTTTTTCTACTGGATGATGAAAGTTGTAACAAGCCCTTTTCAGACTTAATAACTGATTTTATTTGTTGTTTTGGTTATTTATTTAAAATGTCTTCCAGTTCCAGTGTTAAATGTTCATTTAAAGTTTATTGATCTTTGAGAATGGGTTCTTGAATTATTATGTCATTACCAGTATGTTGGTTAAAAATGGTCTCAATATATAGTTTTGTCTTAGTTTAAGTGCACCAACACATTCCCACTAGAAACTAGACCAAATATACTTGGTAAAACGTAATGTTTTTGCAGTGTACTCAGGGGGCGTGCTCAGTTTTAGCTTTTCCTTGACTGAATCTGGTTAAAAAATAATGCTGCATATTCTAATTGTGAGCAGTTAAAACATGGAGCTAACATTTCAGTCAGTAAACAGCAGGTTGGCACTCAAATCCAGTGCAAAGTGAAGCCTTTCCTGCTGAAAATAGAAGCTTTTAAAAAGGCAGAAACACATTTCTTTGCCTTTTCTGTCAGTTCAACTCAACAGTATATATATAAAGGTTCAAATTCACAGCCTGTGCTTTTATTTGGAGCTTTGTGTTCGTAAATGAGCAATGAATTGCCCGAGATCAGAGACAAACAGCGACTGAGAATATTTGGTTTGCAGTAAAATAAGGCATCTTTTCCTCAGAGCGGCTGAATTATTCAGCCTCTCATCAGCTTAAGACGAAGAAGCTCTTAGAGGAGCTAAAAATCTCCGTCACGAGACACTTCTGCAGATGAAATGCAGTAATCAGAATGCTGCAGAGGAACACACACGCGCGCACACTCACACACACACACACACACACACACCACTAGCACAGGCTGCCAAGATCCTGGTGAACCAGTGAACCCGGGTCCAAACGCATCAGTGTGATTGGCCTGACTAATGGCCACCAGGCGGCAGAAACCATCGTGGAATAAAGTGTGTGTTGGAGAGATAAAGTCTGCTTTTTCTGGCTCTGCCACCCAAAAAACACCAGTAGTTCATTTAAAAAATTGAGGTAAATTTTGCCATATTAATCATTAATTATTCCCACATTCAAGGACACACTCTGCTTTTGGGAGTGTGTGAGCATGACTCGATTTACAGGACTCAGAGCGCCAGCAGGGAGCCTCTCAGGCTGGTTTTCAGTCGCCTTCGCTCTGATTAAGACGACACGCGGCTTTAAAAAACGTCCTGCTTTGAGGTCGAATTTAACTCCATGTCAAGGCATTTTATGGTAACCCTGAAGGGACACGCCGAGTCAAACGCAGCGGACATTTTTAAAACCAATGCTAAGAGTAAATTAAATTAAGTAGACTATGGAGATTATATTTGCCTGGGAAAAACCTGAATGTACTTATTATTTAGTTTTAGGATCATTGTTTATGAAAGAAAAATAATAATTGTGCCAAATTCTGCCAAAAAAAAAAATCCTGTGAAACTTATAGATTTACAATAAAAAGATTTTAAATTCTCCATCACAAAAAAGTTAAATTTGTAAGAAAAAAATATTTTTTATGATTAAAGTGGCAGTATTATGTGTTATCCAGGCATGCAGTGCCATTTCATAGCACAACCAAGTAACTATGTTACCTTCAGTTGTTGTAAAAATGATACATCAAATATGACTTCAAAGACATTTGACTTCGACTCTATGGTCTTGAAATTGGGCCTCTGTCTCTTTAAGAAACTCCTGCTCTTTCTGAAACTCCGCCTCCAGGAGGTCATCACAACATGGCTCCTTTATGAACCCTTTATCAACGTTTTTACCAGCGTTTCACTGAGAAGTAGCTCCTATAATGAGATGCTCAGTTCCACCAGGTGTTTGCTAATTGCTGCTGGCTAGTCTGAAGGAGCTGAGTGGAGGAGAGCTGCTCTGGGAGACAGAAGCTCAGAAACTGCAGCTCTGAGGAGGAGCTGCATCTCGGAGGCGGGGCTAGGTCCAC